GTGAGAGAGGGAGATCGAGTGTGTGTGAGAAGGAGAATGGGTAAGAGAGAGTGAATGGAGACAATCAAATCAACAGAAATATAACGCTGTCCTGGTGCAAAAATCAATAAAATTTTAATTCGATGAGAAATCGACCTGCCATTGTTGAGTGTGATTGATGCTCGACAATCATTCTTCTGCTCAACCTACCGGTTGGGCTTTTGAGGAAGGTCAAAGGTCACTGTTCTTTCTGTGTGGAATCTACAAATAGAAAAAGCTCAAAAGAAGGCGTGGCAGGTGGGTTGGGTCTTTCAAATGGCGTGATGAGCCTGTTACCTTTTTCCTTTAACTTAGCTGAGCGTCTTTATTTTCAGAGGGCAGGTAGTTGAGAGGGAGAGAAAAAGGGGCGATGGAGGGGAAAGGGAAAGAGAGCGATGGGGGAGGGAGAGGGAGAGGGGCAGAGATAAAGGGGGAAGATGAGGGAGGGCAAGGGAGGACAAAGGAGAGGGAAAGAGGGAGAGAGGAAGAGAGGGGATAGAGAAAGAGGGGTGTGAGGGAGATAGAGAGGAGGTGGAAGAGAGATAGTGGGAGAGAGAGAGAGATAGAGAGAGAGAGAGAAGGAGAGAGAGGGAGAGAGAAAGAGACAGAGCGGGAGGCGGAGAGAAAGAAAGAAAAATAGAAACAGTTTGGGTAGAATCGAAATTGATGCATGATACTACTATTTAACATCAGGCACAGGACTGAACACAGCAAATACTCTAGATGAAACCTTGACATATATATGGAAGACTATTTGATATCATTAGTCATCTGTCATAATTTTGTCATCCGCCTTCCTCTGTTCCAGAGTTATCTGTCGTATTTTTTAAATTTGTTTTGGCCTGCCAACAGCTTTTAAATCAGCAACCCAGCACGGTATAGCATTGATGCAGTAATTATTATTCCGATAGAATCATTTATCGCGCATTCTGGGCATAAAAAAAGCTTTGTTTGTTTAGTAGAGGTTTTACGGCGCTCGCAACTGCATAAGACCATATGAGCGCTACGAGGTGGATGTCAACAGAGAACTCAAAAACGAGGAATCTAGCTTACTATGTTGACCTCTCTATCCTCAACAGCACAAAGTCTTCTTCCACTATCGAGGCACCCCGGAAATCGGAGTTCAGAAGAGAGCGACAAACAAACAACAGAAATAGTGGGAAAATGACGATAGTAAGGATGGGGAAAAAAACAGCAGCAGTTCCCTCTATGTTGTTCCGGCACATTATGAGCATGACATAGATAAATCAGCCCATTTACAATT